GGAAAGGGTTCAGAGAAGGGTTACTAGAATGGTGCCCGGGGATGACATATGAGAAGAGGCTGAAATCTCTCTAATCATTTTCTCTTAAAAAAAAGAAGAGTTGGGGGGGGGGGGTCTGATTGAGGTGTTTAAGATTGTAAAGGGAATTGGTAGTGTTGATGTATCATCGTTTTTCATATTTAACAATGAGAACAGTAAGACTAGGGGACACAAATATAAATTTTGGCAAAGTAGGAGTCACCTTCAGCTAAGACAGTTAAATTATTTTAACAGAGTGGTTGGCCTTTGGAATGGGTTGCCTTCAGATGTTAAAGAGGCAGTAAATTTAAGTGAGTTTAAGAAAAAGCTTGATAAGTATATGAATGATGAGGGCTGGCTTTAAGATTTTTTTTTTAATTATTTTAATTTAGTTTAGAGGATGGAACAGCCAAGATGGACCAATAGGTCCCACATTGTCCCAAAACGTTATGTTATATAGAGAGCTAATTACCTCTTTTGACTTGTGATTCATATTTGCTTACTAATAGTAAAAGGGCAATGTCACAACAGTTTCTGTGACTTATCAATCACTATGACACGATCTTTTTCTTCCACACATTATTGGGTGGGTTCCCATCTATATTAAACATGCTTTCCAAACTATAACCCAAGTTCAAAAAATAGATTCTCACCTCCAGCTTGTTTGATTACCACATACTCCAATAAGCATTACAACTTGCAAGTTTTGAATAAATATGTTGAAATTACTATTGATAAAAAATTGACAACTTATTATAATTAAAGATCATTTGCTAACTATTTGTTTAACTTGCCAATTGATCTTAGTCATTTATGGTACATCAACTGATTTCAAATTCTTCAAGAAACATTAAATCTACAAATGTACATAAAACAAACTACTAGTATTTTATGTTCCATCAATGAATTATACTTTTTTTTTAATGTTATTTTCTTTAACATTATAGGTTACAATGTCCAATATATCTATTCTTGTTATACAAATTATTCTGTTTTGTTAACTTACAATATGGATTATCTCCTAAGCTGGCCAAGGTATTATTGGGATTATGGCCAAAATATTACTCACAATGAGAATATTCAACTGATGAAATAACGCTTTCTAATCTTAATTAATAAGTAATAACAAAGTGTAATCACTGCAAAGTATGTAATGTATCCATTTTTTAGTAAACCATTACATTGGCCAACAAGTAATTTTCATCAGATATAATTAGAGGTGGGCTAAATGACTCTTGGTATGCTGATTCCGATTCTGTTTTTCATTTTCCTCTTGCACATCAAGTTTTCGTGATGAGACTGATCAAATTTGAAAGGTTATTGCCTTAATTATAATTTAAGTTGTACATTTCTTTTTTCATAAGTGTGTACTGTATAAATTTAACCAAGTGTATGGTGTGTATAACGTTTATGGGAATTATACTGAAAAATTAATAAAGTTGTAACATTAACTAGCCTAATGTGTGATTATTACCTAAATTGTGCTGAAATTAACACAAATCATATTTCAATAACTAGAGGTGCTAGAAGAAAACAGATTTGGAATCAGCATGCAAAACTAGTCTAGAAATGTGTGTTTAGATCTTTGATGAATGAAAAAAAGTTCTGATTTTGTTGACCAATATTATTATATAACATACCATTTTGATACAATGTATAACACCATTTTGTACATAGCCTTGACTTTACAACAAAATAAATATTTATAGTAGCAGTTAACTCTCAATTTACAATTTGCTTTTCTACCTTTCACTTCCACTGTCCAGTGGCATGGATATGGTACAGTATTAAGTAGTTTTATTTTTTTGCCTATTACCTCACATAAGTGTAAAGAATTTACCAAATATTGAGTTAAATTACTCACTCTTTATGTAAAATACACAGAAAACCCCTGCAGCAATTTCTAGAATCAATTACAATATTGACAGTAGTTTGTGTATGTTAGTCATGTCTCTTTAAGGTCCCTGTAACCAACACTGTTAGGCAGTTAAGAGTCTAACCTGAAAGCTTAAAAATGGTTGTGTTAAGCTTAGCCTAAGCTAATAGCAACAGTGTAGACTATACTGGAAGTACAATCAGAAAATGGTAACAGTGGTTAACTTGGTAACAGCCTATTTAATGCATGAGTGTGTGACTTACTTCAACAATTTATATAAAAGGTAAAATAAAATGATCAGATTTATATATTCTCAAGAAGTTTTAATTCGTTGCCCAGTCATCCTTAAGAGAACAGTAAACCTATAAACTTGTTTTGTAACTTTTACTTTCCTACAAAACAATCACCAACCCCACCCCTCAAAAACAAAGTTTTAATAAAAATATCTAATCTCTAATCGTTTTTTCACAAGATGTCTCTATTAAAAATATGGTTAACCATTCAGTCACAAAGATTCTTTAATTAACGATTTAAACAGTAATAATATTAATAGTACTAACGACAGCAACGACGTTAACAAAAAATTACACAGCAGTCTTTCAATTTCATTCGAAGATGCACTTAAACCTAAATGCAATTTGCATATAATACTTAGTCTTTTCATAATAGAATTTTTTAACTGTAAATTGTAAAAATAAAGTAAAAACAGATTAATTCTTAACAAATTTATTAACATTTAATATTACATTATTAATTTTTAGGCAGTAAATAATGTAATACATACGTTAGGCTTAAGTACGTATTAAGAATTTACGTATATTCATAATAAATAAATATATATACACACACACTACAAGACCCGGAGGTAACATATAAAAGCCATAATTTTAGCAAGCCGTAACCTATTAATTTGTAACTTACATGTGTTACATGTACCAATTTAAATTACTGTGACAATCACGACAACAAAACAAAAGCAATTCATTCGCTCATACTTTGCAACACTTGTCACCCACGACAACAGGAGCCGCCGCGGTGTGTCTCCCTTACCAAAATAACAAGCAAAATAAGGTCATTAACCTAATTTGGAATACAGACAACTTGTGAAAGAACCATTTGAGATAAAACTATTTCTATTTATTGTTATATGTGAAAGCAAAAGTTATAAAATCCAAGTGCATGATTGACATAGTGATTTATAAGTAATCATATTTAATGTAAAATAGGTCATTGTATGGCTTGTATAACCGTGATTCTTCTGTTTCTAGTCGTAAAAGCTTAACGACATTTAAAATATAGCTTCAAATGAGAATGGATAAAGCAGAGATTACTATAACGAATTTATTAGTAGAATATGACAAATCTTAAAAATTTGAAAGATCAACATCACTGGCCACTTTATAAACTTTTCCTCCTAAAATTAACGATTTACGTCAGTGACGTAATAAGAAGAAACCCTCTGATAATGCGGTCTCTTACGTCAAGGAAAACAGATTCTGTTTTGATTATTAATGGCTGGAGACGGCTTGAATGGGTAATGAAGAAAAACTTTAATATAACAGCAAATGTACAACGTTTCGACAAGGTTTTGTCATCATCAGGTGCAATTAGGTGTACATCATTCAAGCCGTCTCCAGCCATTATTAGTCTCAAAGTGGGTTCCTCGTCATCGAATTTGTTTTTATTATTGTTCTGTGCTGTACTAATAAATAAAGTAATCGCCACGCCTCAGAAGAGAAGACCACCAAAAATATTTGGTGAATGGACAATTTACTGTTGTAATGTATTAGAATTGTGCAGGGGACTTCACAATTCAGGAAAGGGGTAGTGTTTATGAGAATAAGATATGTTTTTTATGTTGTGATTTGCTTGTTGGATATAAGGCGTGAAACGCCTAGAAAGTTTTATGGATGCGACGTCAAATTGTTCTAGTACATTCGAAGCTAGGTTATAAATACGAACTAGTTGTAAAGTGTATTGAGTGATTTCAATATAGAGTGTGTTAGTTATCGCGGCTACCATATACAAGTAAGTTGATTTGTTTTACAATAGTTAATGCAATTAGTAACCTGGATCTACAGCAGCTTACGGCAGCGCACAGGTATTGACATTTGTATTAATGTTAAAGGAGGAAATAAAATAACTCATGATCGTTTCGTGGACTATTCGTTTAATTATTTTTACCAGATAATTTAAAAGAAGCCGCCAGTGAAAGAACTACGCTATTACACTATTGATGTAAAATTCTATCAACTTAATTTTCTAATTTTAAATTTAGACTTTTACTTACCGACTACAAAGGAGTTATAAAGTCGTTGGGGTTGCCTTACTGAAGTGAAGCCCATTATCTTAACACTCCTAAAAAGTTTTGAATAACTTAAGAATTTTCAATGGTGCAAAGTATTTTTATATTTTGATTTAAAGATAGAAAAAGTAATGAAATATTCCAACAAAGCTATTGTTCTTTAAAATAGGATGGGTCAACAGCTCGCTCTTATAACTGCGTGACTAAAAAGTATTGTTATTAACCAGCTGTTTCATTTCAGCATTAAACAAAGTCTGACACTTTGTAGCTATAAATAATACTACAGCCATATTCCAATTTCTGTGACATACAGTAGAGGGCGCTTTGCTCCTTTGTACCAAGGTAGTAGAAAGGTGTTTATTAATCTATGAAATGGTACTGTGATTTTTATAGATAATTCATAAGAGTTACGATTGCTTTAGCGTTTTATCTTACCTTATCTAGGGCCATCATTCAATAAACTTTAGCATTTATTTAAAAGCAAGGCTCAGGTTACCTTCAGTACTACGAGTTCTAGTCTAGTCAAGTCTTTACAAAGTCAAGTATTCAACTTAAAATTAGTTAACTTAAATAATATAATTCTGAAATATACTTACAGTTACACTAGCTACAATTACACTTATACTTTACAGTGTTTGGAAAAAGTTCTGTGTTTCGATCATTATGGTTGTAGATTACTGACAGTGATACTGAGCCATAGCCTCGGTGAGAACTCGTAGGTTACTGAAAACAAAAATCTGGGCTAAGTAAGATCTCAGTCTTGTCTGTCTCGTTTGGGTAGTGAAGACTGAGTTCGTAATTGTGTAACTGCGTGTCAGATAAACTGATATGTAACTAGTGGACTAATGGTAGTCTTGTATTCATGATTCACGGAAGAAGATAAACCAAATAAATCTCAAAAAGAATAAGAAGCCAAAGGTAAGCTAGTTTTTTGGTTGATTTTTTTATAAAATTTCATACCTGGTTGTAAATATTCTTTTAAGTTTAACACTCAATGAGCATTTATTTTAACATATAATACATTTCTTATGTTGTGTGACTGTGAGATATGAAATTTGAAAACAAAGTAAAATTAAAAAATGAATAATGAAACTTAATACAATTTTGTATACTTTTTAAGACATTTTGTATAAACAGTAACTTTGAGCTAAAATCAATTTAGGATAATAATGTTTATTGCGAAAGTTTGTTAAATAGTGAGTGTAATGCAATATAACATAGTTGGATTCTCCTTTTCACTTCAGCTTTGAAGCAGATGATTTATATGTTCACTGCCAACTAATCTAATAGGAAACTCTTGATAGAGAAATAGATAAACAGACTTTCTCACAAAATTTATTTAGAAAGTTCAAATTTTATATTCCATTCTTTATATTGAATCTGGTATTTTGATTTTTTTTTCAGACTCGGAAAGAGGGTTTTGTTAAAGAATATTTTGGATGATCCTATGCTCATATGTCTACATATGTAATCTTCAAAAGCATTTTTGAATGTTCAGCTAACCACAGAAAAAAAAGTTTGGTCAAACAGCATAGTGTTGTAAGTTTTAGAAGAGCTTTGATTTTGAATGCTGTTTATTGGTGGTTCACTTTCATCAGCACAAGATGACATCGTCTGTGGCATCTCATGCGCCCATGTCAGAATATCAGTGGTGAGTTTAAGAGAAACTGTTTTTGGTACTAAAGATATACATGAAGTAACTCATAATAATAAGAAAAAAATTCTGCTTACATACAC